GTTTTGGTTTTTTTGTTTTTTGGGTTGTTTTTTTTTTAAGAAGCAAAAAGTTTACTAACAAGTAGGGTTTGTGTGTGGTGGGGGGGCCGGGGCTGGTTGTGGTCCTGTGGGCTTTATGGTCTTGTGTCTTCTGGTCTTTTGGAGCAATCCCCTCCCCCCACAGGCCTGTGTCAGCCTTTTGTACTAAAGGGTTAAAAAAAGGACAGAAAAAAAAAAAAAAGGACAAAAAAAAAAAAAGACCTAACGGGCAAATAAAAGTATTTGTGTAGCAGAAGTGCTCACCCTGTATTGTAGCATATGGAAGAGGATTTTTATACGACATTTTTATGGATTATTTTTTGCGATTTGAATCTGGTCCAAAATTAATAATGATTAGGGTTATGGGGAGAATGGTTTGGAGAGGGGGGAGAGGAGGATGGAGAGTTGGTACCTGGCATTGCATCCCTCTGAGGAGCCTCTCTCCCAGCCCTGCAGCTGCTCCAGGTGTGGACAGTTGAGCTGGGGTTGGAAGGAGGAGAGATCTCATGGGAAATTGTTATTTTTCCCATAAAAATAAGAGGTTTTTGAGATTTTTAGCCCTTTTCAAAGTAAAAATAAGGGAAGGACCCAGGCACAGGGTGTGTGTGGTGTGTGGGATCAGTTTTGGGCACTGATGATCCAGCAAAGGAAAACTCAAGTTCTTTAAAGCTGCGTTTAGGGCGAGTGATTTTAGGGTGGTTTGGCTCAGATTAATGACTCTGAAGGTGTTCCTGGTGCCAACAGGAGGGGTTCAGTGATGCCCCAGGTGTGTTTTGGGGCTCAGGTTGATCCTGGGGCTGGTTGGGATCTGTGGGGGCAGCTCTGTCCATTCCCCTGTGCCCCCAAACCTGGGCACAGCATCCCCTCTCCGTGGCCTTCGGAGCATCCCCATCTGCACAGATGGAATGTGTTGGAAAGGCCTGGGGGGCTCTGACCTCCTTCCAGGGCAAAACCCTCCAGCAGTGGGGTCACCTCCAGCTTTGTGTCCCCCCAAGTCACTGGTTTGCAGGTCGGTGCTTGGTTTTCCTCCCCAAAATAACGAGAACAAAATCCAGGAACTGCATGTACCGGAGCTGGCCGAGCGTTCCGGAGTCAGGCTCTCAACTTTACACCAAAGTATGTAGCAGAATCTGTACAGCTGTTAATAACTACCACTGATTTTTGTAAAAAAGGGCGAAAAAGAGAAAAAAAAAAAAAAAAAGAATAAAAAGTAAATGTACTGAAGCTCAACCGAAAGCAAAGTGTCTCTAAACCCTCTGATCCCTGAAATCCTGCACTGAGGGGTTGATGAAAGCACGAGGGGGGCTGGGGGGCACAGGGCCTTCCTCATCTGTGGGGTGATGATGGAGGTCCAATGGAGGAAGAGCCGAGCTCAGGATTGATGGGAGAAGCCCCCTGGATCCCCAGCCCTTGGCATCTTCCCCCTCACCAGGTGCCAAGGGATGGGCTCCACCTTGGGCACCCCTCAGACATCCCAAACCCCATCCTCCCCTTTTCCATCCCAAAGGCATCACCAGCAGCTTTGTTTCTGCTCCTGCCAGGACTTGGGGATGCAGGGAAAGGGCTGGGAATGGGGCACCCAGCACCCGGGGGGTGCCCAAGGGACTGGGTCGGGCGGCTCCCAATCCACGGGCTGTGTGCCCTGGCATTCCTGTGCTCCAGCCCGGGCACCCCTGACAGAGACAAAGCACTTCCCCTGAACTAGGACATATGTAGGGTCCTCCGGGGGCTCCGGTGATGTATTGGACATGACAGGGCCTGCTGCGAGGGAGAAATAAAAAGCAGGAGCAGCACTCTGCCCGCTTGGCTTGCCGATAATGTGCAGCGGGAGAGGGTTAGGAGTGCATTTCAATCTGATTTTAAGCTGGATGGAACGAGGGGCTTACACAGGGGACCATTAAAAGATCAAAATCGCAGGCAATCCTTTGTTGGAAGATTTGGATTGCCGGCGCAGGGGAGCGGAAGGGACCCGGCCCGGCCCCCCCGCGCCGCCCCCTCGGCACCTGAGCGGCTCCAGCTTCGCCTTTCAACAGTTCCCAGCAAACTGTTGCCCTTTGCAGCTCATTTGGTTGGGCTCCAGCCTTTCCAAGTGCTGAGGGAGGAGGTGCTGGAGCCGGCCGTGCTCTCTCCCGTTCCCGTTTCTGCCCAACAGCTGGACTTTTAAAGTATCCCGAGCCCCCACACTAATTTTGTTTTTTAAATTATGTATTCATAAGGGCCTTTTTTAATGTGCTTTTAGTCAGGCTTGGATGGTGCTGTGACACACTGGGGTGTGATGGCAGAGACTTCACGCAGCAGCTGGAAAATCCAGTGGGAGTTACTGCAGGATTCCCCCAGGATCCCAAGGATGTGCAGGTTGGCCATGGCCTGGCATCCTGGCAAACGGCACCTTTTGGGGGGCATTGCCCACTTTTTATCAGTGATTCCCTTCTGGGAGCATCGTATTCCTGCAAGGAAGGGATCCTGTGGAGGTGGGCAGGGATTTGATCCCAGAAGATGCTGAGCATCAAAACTGAGCCATGACCCTTTTGGGGTCCCCCTGTAACCTTTATCTTTCTGGGTGTCCCCTGCAGCCCTCACCCTTTTGGGGTCCCCCTGTCCCTGCCACCCTTCCCGGTGCTCCTGCCGTTGCTCCCAGCTGCTTTCCCACAGTGATGCTCATCCTGGAGCCTGAGCCGAGGCCCAAGGTGCCACGGGGAGGGTGCAGTGGCTGGGTGCAGGTCACTGGGTGCAGGTCACCACCCCGTCACCCCCGAGCTGGGCACTGCCCCCCTCCCGGCTCTTGGGGTGCAGCCGGTCCATGATCCTTGGGGAAATGGGAATTCCCAGCTCCCAGTGCAGGGCCTGTGCTGGGGAACGAGGTGGGGCTGTGCTGGGGACACCACAGGGCTCCTGTGCCACTGGGGGGGGGCACGTGTGTCCCCTGCCCCGTGGTGACCCCCGGGGATGCCATCCCCGAGGAGCCTGCCTGGAAAAGCTGCTTCTCCCTCAGTCTCTGCTCCCTGGAGGGCAGTGCTGGGGAACGGGCAGAGCTGTGCCATGTGTG